TTGGGGGTCAGTTGATTTTTTTTTTACACATTCAGCTATAAACAGGCAAACAATAAGAGACTACAAACTATAGTATCAGATATCTGAAGTACTGTACCTCAAACATCTATTAGAGAACACTAAGCTAACATCAGTCAAACTTTGTGACAGTTATCTTATTAACATTACTACTAAATTCCACTTAGACCATCTAGATCATGACCTAATTAACTATTTGGGGGGTTATTTAAACAATTTCACATAGTGATGGCACAGAGGAAGGGCACAAGAACAAGCTCTTGCCTGAAGATTAAAAGCTCTGTTTGTTTTATGCAATTTAATCAAATTCAGCTATTTGGTAATACTCATTTTAAATAAACTTCTTGTTCAAGAAGAGTCAACAGAACCTGTGCATTAAAAGCCCTGACACCACACAACTGTGTTTTAAAGTAAAAATTATAAAAATTAATAGCCCATAAAAGTAATTAACAGCCCATAAAAGTAATTAAATTTATTTGAGCCAGTTGCTTGGAATCCACAAGCACAATGCTCTAGCTGGGAAAGATACACATAAAGACAGGACACGATGAAAAACAAGTTTGAGTGTTGGTATCTGCCTTCATCTTGCAAAGGCTGATTCGAAAGTTCACTTAAATAAGTAGAAATTTGGATAGACTAATTACCATGAATTAAGGATAAGGCTCAAAACCCACCTTCATTACAAATATATTTCAATGGCTGAAGCATCCATTAAGCAAAATTCAAAATCAGGAGTAACAGCAGGCTGAGCTCCTTCTGAGCTAGATTTATAGTACACTCCCAACAGAACTTACAGCGATGGGAATTTTAAATTTGTACATCCTAACTAAAAAAAAAAACCACTTGTGGGAAAGCAGGGGATTAAGTATACAGAGCCAGACTACAATGCTAAATAACGTAAATCCGTAACTAGGATCCTGTTCAAATCATGCACTTCAAAGTGCTCTGTGTACCTTTTTGAATAATTACAACAGATTATGTTTCCAGCCATGCTTACAAGAAGTAAGATTTCTCAAGCAATTTAGGTGCCAATAAAGTAGATATGTACGTTGGGCACTTTTAATAACCAGAGAAGAAGCAAAAATTTAAGGTCTAGAGTCCTCAATACAGCGTGCAAAAAGAATCAGCACCTCAAAAGCGATAAAAAAAATCCACATGCTGAATTTGCAATTCATTGAAACCCAGTAAATGGAAAGCACTAAGCAGAGGAGTGTGTTCAACCTCTTACCTTTGGGAACACATTTTGTGGAGTAAAGTCTTTTAACACAAGACCTCCACCTTACCGGGCAAATAGTTCAGCTGCTGCGATGTTATATATAACAAAGTGGGTACCAGCAAAGCCCAAAGCAACAAAGAAACAACAAAAATGCCAGAGCTGGTCTTTAAGTCTATAGGTTATCCCATATCTCCTGGCATCCATGGTCTCGCCTCAACTCTAGGCTCCTCCACTTTGATTAACAGCTCCAAGACCAACCCCCAGCTAGATCTCCATTGACAACTGCCCTGTCCTAACAGTGGGCACCGGCATGGGTAAGCACCACAAGACAGGAAACATGGAAATACCTTCTCACCCTCCGCTCTGGCACACAGCCTGCCACCACAAAAAGAAAACACCTTCACTTGAGCAGCTCTAGGTTGAGCCGCGTGCAGTCCGAAAGGAACCCTCAGAAATTTGGAAACAAGGGTCTAAGAAGCCTGAGCACATGCAGAGAGTCTTCAAAGGCTGAGTACCAAACTCGGCAGCTTAAGGACATGTGGGATCGTCAG